TGATATTTATACATTCTGGAACATACGGAGAGAAGTTTTGCAACATTTGGTTGCCCAGAATGAGTAAGATAATTGATACATGGGGAAATGGATATATATATATATATATATATATATATTATATTTATATATATATATATTTTTATAATCTATATATATATATATATATTATATATATATATGTTTGGTTTTATAGATTAGACCAAGTAGATACCTCAGAGACCCAAATGCTCTACGATGCTGAATTGCCCTTAACAGAAAGTTGTCTAAGAGTCAATCCGAAGTCTTATAGCGCTTGGCATCATCGATGTTGGGTGCTCAGTAATGCCCCTAATGTTAATTGGGAAAAAGAATTGCAAATTTGTACCAAATATTTAAAAATGGATGAAAGAAATTGTAAGTATATACAGAAAATTCAAAGTTTAACCATGTTTTTTAGACAATTTTGTTCTGAGAGTTCTAAATGTTTATATACATATTTATAGATAATATAATTAGCTTTTTAATGATATATAATAATGTTGATAAATTTATATAAATTAGTACTAAATAAATTTAATTTCAAACGAAAGCGTTGAAGCTAAAACAATATGGACGTTTTATGAATATTGTAATTTCAAACTTTCACAGAGAATTCAAAGTTTAACCATTTTTTTTTTAGACAATTTTGTTCTAAGAGTTTTAAATGTTTATATACATATTTATAGCTAATACAATTAGCTTTTTAATGATATATAATAATGTTAATATATTTATATAAATTATTATTAAATAAATTTAATTTTAAACAAAAGCGTTGAAGCTAAAACAATATGGACTTTTTACGTTTATGAATATTGTAATTTCGAACTTCAACGAATTATTTTTATATAATTTTGTTCCAACATATCCAAATTGTTAAATGTAGATTTATACATAATTTTATTGGCTTTTCAGTGATATATTATAATATTTAGCACTATAAATAAAACTTGTCAAAATATTGCTAAATATAAAATAATATAACTACAAAACTAATAATTAGATACAAATTTTAAGTAATTTCACACTTTAACGTATTATTTTTATATAAATTTGTTCTAACATTTTCAAATTGTTAAATGCAGATTTGTAAATAATTTTATTGACTTTCTAATGATTTATTATAATATATAACACTCTAAATAAATTTTAATATTACTAAATATGAAAAAAAAAATGCAACTTAATAACTAATAATCAGATACTAAGTAATTTTAAATTTTACAAATTTTTCGTTTTTAATTTTGTTTGGTAAGTTATTAATCGTTATATACAGTTCAGTAGATAATTTTATTAGGGTTTTAACAATATATAATACGTTAAATAGTTAAATTTTAATTATTTATAAAATAAATTTAATTATAAAATAATAAATATAAAATAAACCTTGATAGAAAAACGCAACCATTATAATTAATGTTATTGACAGCCATTGCAAAATTTGATATAATTTTTTTTTTTAAATAATTTTGTTCTAAACATTACGAATTGTAATACACAGATTTATAGATAATTTTATTAGCTTTCTTTTGATATATAATAATATACATCAATTATATAAATTTAGTAAATTACAAAAAAAATATGAAAAAGCGTCCCTATTGGATTTATAAAACTAATATTATCGACACTTCATTTTATTATCAATGTTTATAATTTTTTTCAAAAATAATTTTGTTCCTAACATTATGAAGTGTTATATACAGATTTATAGATAATTTCATTAGCTTTCATTTGGTATATAATAATATACATCAATTATATAAATTTAGTAAACTACAAGCAAAAATGTTTTGAACCACAATTTTGAAAATTTTTTCTTAATTTATTTTGTTCTAAAAGTTATTAAACGTTATATACAGATTTGTAAATTATTTTATTAGCTTTCTAACAATGTATAATACTATTACTATATTTTGATTATTTATAATAAACATTGATACAAAATAAACATTGATACAAAAAACTGCAACCAATAAAACTAACGTTAGTCATCGACGCGTCACTTCGACTTTAATGTTAAAAAAATTTTTTTGCAAAATTTTGTTTTAATCGTTCTAAATTGTTATATACAGTTTTATAGACATTTTTATTAGCTTTTATTTCATATATAATAATATATATCAATTATAATAATACAATTATAATAATAAATTCAATAAACTACAAGGAAAAATATCAAAAAGTGTCCTGGTATATATTATATAGACATTCGAAACCACAAATTTACAAAATTTTCGTATTTAATTTTATTCCAAACTTTATTAAACGTTATATACAGATTTATAGACAATTTTATCAGCTTTCATTTGATATATAATAATATATATTAAATTATACTAAACTACAAACTAAAATATACAAAAACGCCCTTAGTATTTGTTGTATTCTTAATAAACACTGCAAACAAAAAGCTAACAAAAAGTCCTAAACTTTTTTGTCGTTTCTATTAAAACTTCATACATTACAAAATGATAAAGATAATAGGCCTAAAGAACTTCTTAAAATATTATAGGCCTACGACAAATGTTTTTTTTACAAAAATTTACACAAGCAAAAATGTCATGTCCAAGAAGTAACAGCTGACTGAATCTCGTCCCGAATTATTTTTCAAATAACAGTGATAAACAAATTTATTATTATTAAATTTATTATATACGACGAGTCACTTCGACATCAATGTTTATATTTGTTCTTATAAAATTTTGTTTGGAACTTTATAAATTGTTAGACACAGACTTATAGATAATTTTCTTAGCTTTCATTTGATGTATAATAATATACATCAATAATATAAATTTAGTAAACTACAAGGAGAAATTTTAAAAAGTTTAATTTTTTTTCTCAGTCCACTGTTGGGATTACAGGCGTTTCGTGGTCTACAAAGCCCACACGACTGCCAAGGATGAATTAGGCTTTTCTACCAAAAAAATCCATGAAAATTTCTCAAATTATTCAGCATGGCATTATAGAAGCAAATTGTTACCTTTATTATATGCAGACAGAAGTGAAAATAGGTTATGTGACAGCAAATTACAAGAAGAATTGGAATTGGTGTTAAATGCTGCTTTTACTGATCCTAATGACTCCAGTGCCTGGTTTTACCAACGATGGCTTCTTGGTAATAATAATAATAATAATAATAATATTAGGTTGTCAAATATCTCCCTTCCGCTTTTTTGCTCTTGGTTTATAATACAAAAAGGCGGAAGGGAGATATTTGACAACCTTATAATAAATGATGATTGAATTTTTTTGCATTAAATAAGGACTTTATTTTTGTTGTAGGTAAACAAGAAGTGTCTTTAGAAATCGTTTCAGCAGTTTTGTACCAAAATACTTTGCATGTGGCTTTGTCGAAACACGCAAATTGTACGACGAGTGGGGAATATATTATAAGACTTGTTGGAAATGAAGGTGAGGTAATAAAATACTCATTATAAATAATTTTTAATAATTAATTATTTATTATTAGTAGATGATGTTGAATGCGAATGGAACCCGATGTTGAGCTCTGACCGACTTTTGCAAACACTTTGGCAAGGAATTTTTGCCAAGGATATTGTTTTGAGTAAAGGTAGATATTTTAAAGATATTTAATTTACCACAGAATTTTTTAAGGTAATTCTGGACAGAAGTTTTTGATCGATTTTAGAGTATACAGATTTGCTGTAGTGTTTTGTAATGTTAACAAATTTTATAGATTATTTAATTTTGCACAAATTTGTCTTTTACATCATCAAAATTGAACAGATAGTTTGCTAGTTAATGAATGCACTTTCAACGTACCGAGTATATTTTGCGGTTGGTGATTGCAATTTTAAAGTATACAGAGTTGCTGTAGGGTTTTGTAGTGTTAACAAATATTGTTTATTATTTAATTTTAAACAAATTTGCCTAATATATCATGCGTTTTGCATAAACCATTTAAAAGTTACAAGAGATGCAATAAATAAAAGGTCCAAGAATTTAAATTTCGATAATAACAATGAATTGTTTTTGTGAAAAAAAATGTTCCAACACAAATTAATGTGTTGATGCAGTTTTATAGAGAACTTTTTTGTCTTTATAGTGATGTACAAATATTTATAGAGTTCCATACAAAATTATTTCGAAATTAATAAAAGTATCTATAATTACACCGACTTTTCCGGTAGAAAGCAAAATTTCTAATAGCGTACGAGTTTTGACTTTTGAATATTTTTTATAAAAAAATTTGTTCCAACAAAAATTAATGTGTTGATGCAGTTTTATTGAAAATTTCGTTATCTTTGTAATGATGTAAAAGTATTTATACAGTTTTATACAAAATTATATCGATATTGATAAAAGAATCGAAAATTTACTCCGACTTTTCTAGAACAGTCACAAATTTCTAATAGCGTACGAACAACACTTTTGATATTTGAACAATTTTTTATAAATAAAATTGTTCTAATACAAATTAATGTATTCATGCAGTTTTATTGTCTTTATAGTGACATTTATGCAGCCTTATACAAAATTATATCGAAATTGATAAAAGAATCAAAAATTACACCGACTTTTCCGGTACAAAGCAAAATTTTTCAAAATTTGACTTTTGAACATTTTTTATACAAAAAAAATTGCTCCAACTAGATAAAATTATTGTGTTGATGCAGTCTTTTAGAGAATTTCATTATATTTATAGTGGTGCCAAAACATTTACACAGTTTCATACAAAATTATATCGAAATCGATAAAAGTATATCAAAATTAATAAAAGTATCTCAAATTGCACCAACTTTTCTAGTACACTCACAATTACGTAATAGCGTACATTCATTGTTTATATCTCTTGTAACTTTTAAACCGTTTACCCAATTTATATAAAACATTCAGCACATTTGTTGAAAATTAAATTATTTATAATATTGTCTAACATCATTACGACCTACATAATAATATATTATATAATATATATTTTAATAATAATATTTTTTTTATTTAATTACCAGGACTTTCAGTAGAGTTAGTACATGCTTCGACTTACGACATAGTTTCAAAATTGGATTTGGACGTTGTAGATTTATTACGAGGAAAATGCATTGGTTACAAAAAAGTGCGTTTTGGGGCCAAATTTGGGGACAGGGTCAGGTCCGAATTGGGGACACAGATGGAAGCTTGTAAAAGTTTATTGGAGATGGAACCTGATAGTAAATGTAAGAAATATATTTATATATATATATATATATATATATATATATATTTAACAAAAAATATCACAATCTATTACCCTCTATCTATTTTCTTCCAGGGACTCTATTAACCCTAGCCCTTATCATGAGAGCCCTCGACTGCAAAAAGCACCATGAAGAATCTCTTCAACTTTTAGAAAAATTGCAAACAGTTGATCAAATGCGAAAGGGTTACTACAAAGACCTAAGAAATCGTTGGGTCATCGAACATTCCATAGAAAATTGGTTGGACAATTACCATCCAGGAGACGATGAAAGAAATATCCTGAATTTAAGGAACAAGAACCTGACTGCCATTTACCATAAACAGTATTTTCTAATTGCTAATTGTGTTGACCTAAGAGGAAATAATTTGTGCCCTAAATTTATCGAAAAGTTGCAAAGTATGTTCAAAGTTATTTTCATGGATAGAGATGATAGTTTTGTTTCCGAAGAGGAGGATTATGGTTTGGTCAACTCGATGACCAAAGTTGATGTTGTTCCTGATAGTAGTTGTGATAATGTATTTGGGTAATAATATATTGAGTAAAAATTTCATTTCGTTTTTTTAGGCTATTTGAAAGATCTGAGACCACCTAATTACGATTGTAACTATGAATGAGTTTTTATAAACAAAAAATTGTTCCAACACAAATTATTGTGTAGATGCAGTTTTATAGAAAATTTAATTATCTTTATAGTAATGCAAAAACATTTATACGGTTTTATACAAAATTATATTAAAATTGATAAAAGAATCGAAAATTACACAGATTTTTCGAAGTACTGTCCCAAATTTCTAATAGCGTTCTTTTCTAGTGTAAACTAATAGCGTACGAGCAACAAATTTGATATTTGAACTATTTTTTACAAAAAAATTTGTTTCAACTCAAATCAAAGTGTTGATGCAGTTTCATAGAGAATTTTCTTATCTTTATAGCGATGCAAAAATATTTATACACTTTCATACAAAATTATATCGAAATCGATAAAAGAATCGAAAAGAAAGAAAAATCGAAAAAAGCGAATCGATAAAAGAAATGAAAAGAATACATATTTTAAAAATAACAACAACCATTAAATTTATATTATTGACTTATTTTTATTCTTAAAGCAATTTTTCCCCATAAATTAATTAATATTGGCAGCTAAAACAATGGATTTTTTTTATTTAATATCAAATTTCTCATAGCTTTTTAGTACGATTTTTAATTTTTTCATGTATATAATAATATTCTAAAAATTCTAAAATCTAACACTTGCCAATAGGACTAGTATATACCTATATTTTAATATTATTTTTTAACTGAAGTTCATATCGACGATCGAATATAATTCATGGGTACAGCCTTATATCAAAAATGCTTTTAGTGGTGGAAGAACAATTATCGATTTCGATTGCATTAATATTTTTGGACTATTTTATTTATATCGAAATCATTTACGCATTTTGTAATAAAATTATAAATTATTTATTATTTTTCTTTGTGCTTTTTTTTTAATTAAAAAAAAAAAATGATTTTCACGTGATGAAAGCAGACAGTAATTCAAAAAAAGTTAAAATTGGCAAATTTGAAGCCAAAAACGGATATTTTATATGCATATGCAAATTTAAAAAAAAGTTAATTTTTACACTTTTGCAGTACTCTCAAACCTCAGACCACTGGACTTTCGTAGGCCTACATCTATCTTTTTCTACTTTGGACTACTCCAACATCAATCTTTTACCCGACATCGAACTTTTGTTCATCATCGATTTCACTCTTGTCCAGTATTACCCTGCCTTTCTCCTCCACTTTCCGATTTCAAATAAATATTAATAATTTAAGATAAAAAAAGTTGACTTCTACTCTTTTGCTATATTCTCGAACATTGAGGACAACTGGGCTTCCACTGTCCTACGTCTATTTTTTTCTACTGATGCCTTTTTGATGCCTATCTCTTTCTATATACTAAACTGTATTCTTTAATTTTTTATCCAGTATCTAGAAATTTTTAAACAGAAGTCCAAATCGTCCAAAGAACTCATGATGTCATCTTGCCAACACTAATATCATTTACCACATCGAATTTTTACCCTAACATCGATGTTTTTCTTCTCCACTATCGCTATCCCATTCTCCTACACTTTTTCGATATTCATTTCAAATAAACATTAATAATATAAATTAAACAAAAATATATAATGACTTTTACTTTCTTGTTATATCCTCTAACGTTGGACTCTTTGATTGTTACTAAACTATTATTATGTCTTTCAACTTTAGGGGGCGTCCATTAATCATGTGAACGAGTTTAAAGGATTTTTGAACCCCCCTCTCCTTTGGTGATACATGGTGATATTCAAAATTACCCCCCCCCCCACACCAAACATCACGTGTATTTTTAGTTACAAGCAAAAATTGTAACACTTTTGATTTTATTTGAAAATGTTTGGATTTTTTTTTGAAAAAAAAAATCAGGTAAAAATAAATACAGGTGAAATCTTACTATACCTCTCCCTCGGCCACGTGATAAGTCGTTAAATCCGCCCCCCTCCCTCTAAAATAACCTCAAGTGATTAATAGACGTCCACTTATCTTGTATCATCCAAAATTTACCACATCGATCTTCCACCCAACATCGAATTTTAACACCAACTTGAATGTAAGACCACTGGACCTCCACTGACCCACGTGTACTGGGGACTCTCTGATTGCAACTAGACTATTTTATGTCTTTCAACTTTTAGGTGGCGTCCATTAATCGTGAGAAGGAGTTTTTAAGGATTTTTTTTAAAAAAAAATCAGTTAAAAAATTAATAAACGTGATATCTTACTATACTCCTCTCTCGCCCACGTGACATTAATAATATTGATTTAAAAAAATATGATGACCTTGACTTTCTTGGTGTATCCTCTAACGTTGGACCACTGGACCTCCACTGACCTACGTCTACTGGGGACTCTTTGATTGAAACTAGACTATTGTTATGTCTTTCAACTGTTAGTTGGCGTTCATTAATTGTGAGAACGAGTTTTTAAGGATTTTTTTTAAAAAAATCAGTTAAAAATTAATAAACGTGATATCTTACTTTGCCCTTCACTCGCCCACGTGTTAATTTGTCATATTCCCACGTCAATTTTGAGATATTCTTTAGATACCAAGAAAAGACCTCCTCACCACATTTTAAATTCAATTCTCTAAATCTTTTGGAGTTAAAAATCACATAGTTTTTTATTTTAAATAAAAATGTTAAAGAAAATTTGACCCATACGCTTTCGGTGTATCTTCGAACGTTGGACCACTGAACCTCCACTGCCCTACAGTTATCTTTTTCTACTTTAGACTACTTGTCTGTCCCTGGCTTATGTCTATCTCTTTCTATATACTTAACTGTATCATTTAATCATTTATCCAGCATTTAGAAATTTATAAACAGAAGCTCAAATCGTCTAAAAAACTTATGATGTCATCGATTTTTTACCCTAGCATCGAACTTTCGCCCAACATCGCTGATTTTCTTCTCCACTATTGCCATGCCATTCTCCTCCATTGTTCCGATGTTCATTTCAAATAAATATTAATAATATAAATTAAAAAAAAATATAATAACATTTACTTTCTTGGTGTATTCTTGAATGTGAGACCACTGGACCTCCACAGCCCTACGTCTATTTTATGTCAATCTCTTTCCATATTCTAAACTGTATCCTTTAATCCTTCATCTAGTATCTAGAAATTTATATAGGTCCACAAAGAGAAATACAAATCGACCAAAGAACTCATGATGTCATCTTGAAAACATTAACATCATTTACCTAATCGATCTTTTACCCCAACATCGATGTTTTTCTGTGTCCTGTGTCACCATCGCATTCTCCTTCAATTTTATATGATCATTTTAAATAAATATTAATAATATACATTTAAAAACATATATATATATATATATATATATATATATGTGTGTATATATATATAATAATCTTTACTTTCTTGGTGTATCCTTGAATTTGAGACCACTGGACCTCCACTGACCTACGTGGAAATCTATATCTCTTTCTACTGGGGACTCTTTGATTGCAACTAGGCTATTGTTATGTCTTTCAACTTTAGGGGGCGTCCATTAATCATGTGAACGAGTTTTTAAGGATTTTTTTTTAATTCAGTTAAAAAATAAATACACGTGATATCTTACTATATACCCTTCCCTCGCCCACTTGATATTTTGTGATTTTTAAAAACCTCAAGTGATTAATGGACGCCCCCTTATCCTGTACCATCCAAAAATTTACCACATCGATCTTCTACCCCAACATCGATCTTTCACCCCAACATCGATCTTTCACCCCAACATCGATCTTTTACCTCACTCCGCCGTACTTCCCACTCTCCACCGGTTTTCCGAATATTTCCGACTTTTGCCGAAGCAGAGTTCACCAGCGTGCGCAATCCGATTACGAAACAGTATAGCGTGCGCGCATCCCGCGGCATCACCATCGAAGGAATAGGTTACCGATTTAGTGATTTTAGTGATTTTAATGAAAAAAAAATTAGAGTGATTAATGATAATTAGTAATAAATGACATTAGTGGTAATTGGTATTAAATGATCGATGTTTATTTTTGTGGTGTGGGGAATATAAAGTTTTTGCCGGTTTTCGGTAGTGACGGTATAGATTTTTCATTAGTGTTGAAAGTGAGACCGAGGATTTTTTGGATTATTTTTGGTTTTTGGTTTTATGAGATAAAGGGCTATTGGTAAGTACTTACTTGAGTCACAGTTGTTTTGAAGTTTTTTTTGGCCGTTTTTTTGCCGGGTTTGTTTAGTAATCAATACTTTAGGAGATGTCCGGCGAAAAACAGTACAAACTTGAATACTAGGGTTGTTTAGGAATTAGAAAAACAGTACAAACTTTAATAATATGGTTGTTTAGGAATTTTTTTGGTCCCAGAGGCTCAAATGCTTCCAAATTGCTAAAAAACAATTCTCTGAAAATTTAAGCTCTTAATTGTGGTCCTTAATATGAATGTTTAAGAATTTCCTTGCTCCCAGGGTCTCAAATGCTTCCAAATTGATAAAAATAAATTCTCTGAAAATTTCAGCTTTTAATATTAAATCTAACATACTCCGCGAAAAACAGTACAAATTTGAATACTGGGGCAGTTTTTAATATGGTTGTTTTCGAATTTCTTTGCTCCCAGGGGCTCAAATGCTTCCAAATTGATAAAAACAAATTCTCTGAAAATTTGAGCTCTTAATATTAAATCTAACATACTCCGCAATCCAAACATTGTTTTTGGGATTTTTGAGGATATTTTGCCGGGTTTGTGTGTCTTAAATATATTTGTTAATCAATACTTTAGGACATGTCCGGCGAAAACAGTACAAATTTGTATATATATACAATTTATGGTGGTCCTTAATATGGATTTTCCCGAATTTCCTGGCTTCCAGGTGCTCAAATAATGCGGCGAAAAACAGTACAAACTTAAATATATTTACAGGGGTCCTTAATATGGATTTTTTCGAATTTTCTTGTTCCCAGATGCTCAAACATTTCCAAATTGATAAAAAAAATATTCTCTGAAAATTTTAGCTCT